AGTTATTACAGGACGTTATGTGCCAAACAGATTCGTGAAAAATCATTACAGGACGTTATGTGCCAAACAGATTCGTGAAAATCATTACAGGACGTTATGTACCAAACAGATTCGTGAAAATCACTACAGGACGTTATGTGCCAAACAGATTCGTGAAAATCATTACAGAACGTTATGTACCAAACAGATTCGTGAAAATAATTACAGTACGTTATATGCCAAACAAATACATGAAAATCATTACAGGACGTTATGTATCAAACAGATTCGTGAAAATCTTTACAGAACGTTATGTACTAAACATATCCGTGAAAATCACTACAGGACGTTATGTACCAAACATATCCGTGAAAATCACTACAGGACGTTATGTATCAAACAGATTCGTGAAAATCATTACAGAACGTTATGTACTAAACATATCCGTGAAAATCACTACAGGACGTTATGTACCAAACAGATTCGTGAAAATCACTACAGGACGTTATGTGCCACAAACACTCGTGAGAGTTATTACATGATTTTTTGCATTAAAAAAACTCGCGTGAGTCATTACTAAACATAGAATAATGTAAGAAATCATACTGTTAGTCACTTAAGTAGTGTGCTGTTGTTCAACTTTCTGGCTTTCCTTTGTGCTCATTTTCTATCTTATTGGTAGTGTTCAAAATGTCCGACAAGGAACTGAGCTTCATGCGGATTGGTTCTCTCAACAGTCGTGTGAAGAAAACGACAGCAGCGCTAACAGGAGGCCGAGGGGTGGTCAGGTTGAAAAGCTGTCGCTCAGCCGACAACCTCTCAGAACTGGTAAGTCAGTAAATAAAGTTAAACCTAACCGTCCACTGTTATTTCTACAATTAAAGTACAATGTTATGATAGAACTTATTTTAACGATTAATTTAATGTACTTTTTTCTATGCATAGTACATCAACTAATATTCACTTTTTTTTAATCCAATGAGGTGGTTCTATATAATAAATGCAAGAAAATTGAATCTTACCCGCGTTCAACTTTTCTCAATTTTTATTGCATTTAAAAAATTCTAATGTGTAAATTTTTTACAATCAAAACTTAGTTATATGTACTTGGCCAGTATTAATAATTATTTTATTTGATTATTATTGTATGTGTGTGTGTGTGTCCCCAACGAAGCTCGAACGACAAGTGATGCCGCCTCCAAAATTAGGGCCGGTGAAGAAAAAGAAATCCAAGAAAACAATCAACGCCGAATTTTATAGGTAATAATGAAAACTATCCCTTTCATTGCTCAATTTTTATCTTGGACTGAGAGAATGGGGGTTGACGTTTGCCACACACAAACACACATACACACAGAGAGAAGAAGAAAAAAACGTGTTCGTACTTTGGGACCGTGAGTACACTATAAGTGTGGTAATAAAATAACACTATTCCGTCAGACTAGAATTGGCGGTGAGTACTGTTGATTACCCACATTTCCTCTAGTCTGTCAATTAAAAATTAGGAACCATTGTGCGCAGATAGCTCTTGTGTAGCTTAGCGCGAAAATTTTGAAACAAGGTAAGCATCTTGATTTGCGTGAAAGTGCAGGTTCTGGGATAAAGGAGGTGGGGTGCAAGTTCTGGGATAAAGGAGGTGGAGTGCAAGTTCTGGGATAAAGGAGGTGGAGTGCAGGTTCTGGGATAATAGAGGTGGGGTGCAGGTTCTGGGATGAAGGAGGTGGGGTGCAGGTTCTGGGATAAAGGAGGTGGGAAAGATACAATTGCCCCTGATTTGTCCAAGTTTTTGAATAATTTTTCGACTTTTTGGCCCTTTTTCTAAATTACTGACTTTCTTAGTTAGTTGAAGTACCCTAACTTAGTACAGGTAACGGTTTAGTTTTGTTGTATTGTCTA